CGTGGTCGTGGAGGAAGGGTATAGCTGAGTGGTTGGCGGGTCTTTTTGATGGAAAAACTGCATTCTGCTTCTTTGAAGAAGGCAGGCACGGGCAGAGGAATATGGCTCAATTGAGACTCAGCACCTGAACAGTCAAGAGCTACCGGCATGTCTGAAAGTAGGAAGTGCAATCAGTAAGATTGTGCAATATCTTCCTTTATAGCCTAACCCATAAAGCATCAGGTTTCGGTGCTAGGCTTTTCCTCAGGTTCATCAATTATACAAACTGAATAGTCAGCATGGTCACAAATTATTCCACATATTTAATCTAACTGGAATAATATAGATCATGATGTATATTGAGTTTAAACCATTTTTTCACACAACATAATAGCATATTAGACAGATACACTGTTACAGCCAGTGACCATAAGTAAAAAGAAAACAAAACAAACAAAGAATAAAATGTAATAAACATCCTTACATTGTTCATCTTAATTTGTATGAATGTAAGTAAATATATTTAACAAAACTATGAAATTCTTAGAGTTAATATAAATAGCCAAACCTATAAAGCCTATTAACTATGCTTCTGTCTGCTTTGTTTATTTCTTCCTTAGTTAGATGCACGGAATAAAATAAGTAGTATATTTAGAAACATTATAGGCTGAGAGATTTTACTGCTATTATGGCCCAAACAAATGCTTCTTTATTTCTAGCTTACAATTCTGGAAACAACCTTTGATAGTAATAATTTCAATGTTTTCAGTTTTTTTGCAGCAAGATTCTCTTTATTTTGTCCTTTAAAAGCTTTAGTAACAATCATGCTTTTCAAATAGCATTAGATTTCCCTCTGAGAAAATCAATGCTCTGTGGTCTGCTATCTCCAAATCCTGGCCATTTGAATAGTATTTCAGGTAAACTGGATTTCATCTATCTGCTGCAGGGGTCCAGGATCCATCAGTAACAGTCATGAAGTTTCTTAATGATTCCTGATAAGACAGGTGACATTCAAATGAAACTGGCAAATATGACTTGTTAGTTTCTAGAGGCACTCAAAGCACATCTGTCAGCAGAAGTATAAATTGAACAAGCAATAAATGGAACATGTTGGAGATATAAAAGTTTCAAATTATTGATTTATTCTACTAGTTTCTTGTTTACATAATCCATTGTAAAGTACTTAAAAAAAGAAGTAATCATATATGCTTTTCGGTGATAAGTTCTACTGAAAATAGTGGGGATTACTTAATGGTAATGGGCAGCATGGTGACTCAGTGGTTAAGACACTGGACTTGTTGATTGGAAAACCAACAGCCCAGGTTTGAGACCCGGATGCCAGGAGACTGGGTGATCTCTTCCTTGCCTCAGCTCTTGACAACTAGCAGTTTGAAAGCATGCAAATGAGAAATAAATAGGTAGCACTTCGATAGAAAGGTAACAATGCTCTGTGATGTCACGTTGGCCACATGACTGCGGGAATGTCTTCGGACAGTGTTGGCTCAATAGTCTGGAAACCAGATAAGCACCCCCCCCCCTATAGTTAGCAACGTCTAGGAGAGTAAAATCCACAGGGAATTTTTTAGCTTTACTTTTACTTAAGAATAAATATTACAGAGTGCACTATATGCTCTCTTATCCAATATGGCAACCGTAATTGTGTATAATGTTTTGTTTAAAAGACACAAACATTTCTATAGTGCTCAGAGCATCAGACTAATAGGACTCCAAATGTGGTTATGAAGCTGGTTCTACATATAATGGAACAAATCTCACCAAAATATTCTAGCAGATCTGACCAAAATATTTTATAAAATAATATAAAAATGGTCCAACAAATATTTTTAGATAATAGAGTGATCACTGGACTCCATCTGGAGTAAAATCAAATTTACAAGGATGTTATAAGCATTAAAAGAAGTATTTAGAAGAAGCAGTTGAGTTAATAGGAATTCTTTTCTGACAGAACTACAAATCTGAAGTAGAGGGTCTGAATTAAATTATCCCTTAAAAATATTCTCTACTAATCCTGCTGCTTATACTCCAGCCTGTTATTAGTTCACATAAACACAATGGGTCTGGCTATAGATTTTCCACACTATAATATCCTCCTCCTCGTTTTTAAACTGAAAAAATTACAACTTAAAGAATGGTACATACTCTAGGTAGCCCTCTCTTAACTTCTATTTGTTCAGAAACCATTTCAAGTTACTTCATCACTAGCCTTTTAGCTAGCCTCTCCCTGATCAATCACCGTTATAACATTATAACAAATTTCTCCTCTTCCACCAATTCTTCATTTGCTCTGCCACTTCTGATGCTGTTCTACTGTTGTTCCTTCAACCTCATACTGAGAGGAAAAGACAATACAAATACCTGAAATATTTTGGAGTAAATATCCAAAACCAGAGCTTATGTAAAACATCTTTAAACTGGGGGTATAATTTGATTTCACTCTCGACTCCCTAGTCATATTTAACTTTCTCCTTAGTTTTCTTTATGTCATTCTTGCACTTATCTAAACAGCTTCTTGGGCTGCTAAAATGACAACCCTTTCTTTGATACTGTGTCCCATTGATAGATGGAAGATTTTATCCATGTCCAAATAACTGATTCATGGAAGTGAATTTGTCTACACTGTAGATAAATTAAAAAGAATTAAAGAAATTTTGGTCTATTCTAACATGTACTGTGATTATCTGCCAAACCAATTTTCCTGACTATTTCTTATCAGGTGTGAACAGGAGGGTCTCAGCACTGAGAAGAATCTAACAAAATTGCACATTTAATGCAGCAAAGTTCATCTCCTGATCCTTGGACAAGACACTGTGATGGAAATCTTCCAAAATATTTGTCCACTTTTCCATGTAGAGAGAAAACTTGACCAGATACAGTAAACCAATTCTACTTTATTGCAAGGTATTGTATTAACAAAATCTTGCATGTTTGAAAGTATAAATTTCCCACTGTCTTTACAGCCCAAGAAACTAGGGAGGGCTCTCTTCAGAGCCTCTTGCTTTGTCCACTATCCAGCAATGACTTATGTCCTCTCTTATCCAATCATTCTATAGACAACATCTCTTTGCCCAAGTTTCCAGGGTCTTTCCCACATACCATTACAATATTAGAGGGTATAAGTTTATTGGGTAACAAAATGCAATCATCATTGGATTCTACCTTTACTAAAGTTAGTTCTATGGCTTTCTTTGTACTCCAGCCCAGGGGTCCCCAACACCTGGTCTTTGGCCCTTTTGGAACTGGGTTGTGGAAGTGGTGGGTGAATGTGTGCATGTGAAGCTGCATTTGTGAAAGCAGGATGTGCGTGCGCGAAACCATCCCTTCTCCCTCACTGCTGCCACTGCCAGTCCGCCGAGCCGGAAATGTTGGAGACTGCCACTCTAGCCCACATGACTAATTCACTTATGGGGTGTGGCCTATAGATTTTTCCAGAACATCAACTTGCTCTATGATCATGGGTCACTTTTTAAAGTCTGAATTATTTTACAGAATTCTAATGAACATAAAACTGAATTCCAATGTACAAGAACTGTGTACTGTAATTTTTTGAAACAGTTAAATAAAGACAGAATGAGGAAATAATTCATTCAATAAATTATTTATTCCCCTTGAAAAAAAAACAAATATTTTATCTAACACCCCACCCAGAGAAAGAGTCCATCTTTCATCTATAACATGTCAAATGCAAAAGAAACATTTGCTTCTCCAATCCTAATACATTAGTTCTAAGCTTTTGAAACTTTTCTGCTTTCTCATGTTCTACCCATCAGTATTAATGCTAATATACGTGGAATTAATTATTCTCAATGCCTCTTGCTATATTCACACAATATACTGTCNGCCTACACAGGCTTGTCAAGCTATGGTATCTTTTGTGCAGTGACTGCTCGTTCCAGTGTCCGGCGCTTACGAGCCTTTGCCTGGCAGGCTCTGTTCCGCTTCTTCTTCTTCTATTTGCGGTGGGTGGGATTAGGCACTGGCCATCCCACTTCTCTGCGTTCATACCTCATTATGGACGGTCTAGCCTTTCTTGGGGGCGTCATCAACATCTCGCGAGTGCCTGAGCGCTGGAAGCCAGGTTGTTTTGACTATTGGTTCAACAGCCATCAGATTATGCATGTGCTGGTGGTGGTCAGTATACTCTATCTTCATTGGGGAGTAGTGGCTGATCTTCATTGGATTGCCAACTCAGCCTGTCCAAAGGAAGGACCACATCATGTTTGAATTCACCCCTTCCACAGAAAATCTGCTGACTAAGAAGTGGGTGATGTATAAGGTGTGAGCCACTGTACTCATTGTTCTACAAGGGCTGAAGTACATAAGAAAGGACATCTTCTGGACATAATTTATTTAAAAGAGGCTGCATTTTTCCCCTGTGGGGTTAATACAGTAGTTTCCTATTGGTTGATTATTCATGGATCAACTTGTCTAAGATTTGTATACTTCTGAGTCTAAAGTAATGAATTTCCACCACTTGAAGTTCTTAGATCAGTTTGTGCAGTTCAACTTTTCTTCCAAATGACAACAGGCAAATATAATTTGGTTAAAAACCATCTTGAACTCTAATAAGATACAATCAGAGAAATAATCCACTGTACTAGTGAAGATTCCCATCCCCAACTCTTACTTTTTTTTTGCTGTAGGACTTTTTGTCATCAGAGCTGTTCTTGAGGTAGCTTTGATGATAGTAGGAAGAACCCGATTAGTTGCTTCTCTTTTTTGAATTTGCATTGAAAATGAAATGGGCACTGGGAAGAGAGATGTTCTTGGTAGAAGATATTGGAGTTGAGTGCAACTTCTCTGCTTTTTAGAGGCAGTTACTTAGATACTTTTTATCCAGGTCTCTTTCAGACACCATGCAATACTTTCTGATTTTAGAAAGGGCTTGTCAGACACCAGAATATTAAATTCTGCTGCATAGTTTAGTTTTTCTTTTCCTGCCAGGATAATCAGGAGCCTTGAAACTAGATTTGGGTTGAAGTTGAGGAGTCCTGATTTCAATTTCTGGGTAATGTCATAAACTTTAGGGCCATGACTCTTGCAGCATACCTCAGTTTTCTATCTCTCTCTTGGCAGAGTGTACAATGTTTATGGTCAGATTGGAATTCTTTTTTCTGCTACCACATTCCAATTTTACCCTGACCTGAGCAATGCTTTTCAAACCTTTATAGTTTTGTATGAATTTGGAAGAACTCTTTCTACTCCATTGATATGGTTGCTGC